AATACAAAACATTACATTTATTGGATCTCGTTCTTTGAGAAAAATGTGTTAGCAATCACATCGTTCAAGTAAATAGATTTTTAATATTATTTTTACTCCGTATTTTTTTAAGTGGGGAATGAAAGTAGAATGATTTTGATGGAATGACCATTTTCCGAAAAAGGTGGAGAATGGGCATTTCATTTTTATAATTACTTTCCAAATAAAAGAATAGAATTAAAAGCATTCTATTCCACTTTATTTCATTCCATTCCCACCTACCAAACTAGCCCTTAAATTAACAAAGCATTTTAAAAGCTTAGGAGAAATGTTTTTTTTTTTTTTTTTTTTCCCCTGCTTGCAACATCTTCATTTGCAGGGCATCAAGGTATGTGGTTATCTTATTTATTTAAATTTTTATAAGATAATACTTGCTTACTCATCATTGAGTAGGTGATCTCTATTAATCATTGATGTGCTCCAATCACAATTGCACGCTTTGTTATTTCAAAATAAGGAAATTAATAAATAAGAAAAATAATTTTTTTTTGGAATAAATTCAATCACTCTATGTGTTTTCCTTATTTATTGTTTTCTTAATTACACATAATGTGTGCATTTGTGATTAAATCACATTAATAGTAGTAGAGATCACCTACTCACCGATGTTTAAGTAAGTAGTATTATCTTTTCCTATATTCATAATTTGTGCCATTTCATATAGAATTATTATTTCCGTTGTTCACATATAAGATGTATTCCTCTAATTCTGTGGATTTTATTGATTGGGAATGATCATATAAATATTATTTCACATACACTTCATCAACGAACGTGTTATTGCAAAGATGTATCTATCATAAGATTGTGACATAGATAACGACAAATAATTAAGGAGTTAATTGCAAAATTTGAAAGTTTTTACCTAGAATAAAATTAACCTTCTTGAACTATTAAAATTTTACAAATAAGGCCAACTTCTTAATTTTGTTCGGTGACCGTTAAGTTAAATGTGTAATAATTAAAAATTACTGGATTACTCTTGTGGTTAATTGCAAAAATCGTTTGATGAACTATCAAAAAATTGCATATTGTCCCTAGAACATATATGCAATTGTTGTATTAATTTGGGGGTTGATGCAATTGTACCAAAAGAATAATTTGATTTATAAAATAAACAAACAAACAAGCTTTTTGACTAATTGTAACTTGATGGAAGGGAGTATCTTGCAAAATTATTGGTATTTTGAGTACTTATTGCTAAAAATTTAGTATGAGGTAATATGCAAGTTCTTTGTAGATTAAGGACATTATATGCAATTAATCCTAATTTAAGATGAAAAATGAAATATGTAATCCTTTAAATGCAGTTGTTGAAAAAGTATCCATGCAATTAATACTAGACTGCATTTGACTTGGTTCTTGCATCATAACGAGTATTATTAATTCTTTTCCTGGAAATTATTAATAGAAAATTGATCCTTGCACGTTTTGTTGTAGTAAAAAGTAAGGCCTCCACTTAATTATACTGTGCATAAATAATTAATTAAAAATATTCAATTAGGTTATTCATTGTAATAAAAAGGTCTAAGGGGTTATTTGATAAAAATGAAAATTAAGTACTGAAAATTTCAAGTACTGAATTTTAAGCACTGAAATTTTAAGTGCTAAATAAATTAATTTTAAACTTGTTTGATATTGTATTAATTTTAAGCACTAAATTTATTAAGATTATTTGTTTAATGCAAAAGCTGAAATATGAATGTTGTATATACTATATTTTTGCCTTGAATATCTTCTACATATAATATTATTATAAAAGATATTATATTAAAACATAAACATGTATATAAAATAATGAATTTCACCAAAGAAATATATCAATTTAACAATGAATATTAATGTCAAAACTGATCATAAAAATTTCAAAATCAATATATAAAATGAATAATTTATGAAAATGAAATATTTATGAGAAAGATATTAAAATTCACGCACAAATCATTTGATTTTTATTTATATAGTAGATTTGCATCATAACAATGGTGGGAAGGTTTCATTTCATGATTGTTGATTATAAACTTGAGTGAACCATGCAGTGTGTGTGTGTGTATATATATATATATTTATATTTTGTTGAATATTATTTATATTTACATTATTTCTGAAGAAAAGTACAATGAGTATAGATTGATATTTGAATGAAAGTACCTCAATCAAGGTACCTTTTATGTCACTAGACCTTTTTAATGTATAAAGATTGAATCTTTGAAATCATGATCTGCTCAAAAGTTCTCTTGCGTCCCAAACAAGCAATAAATGGCCCCTTTGGGTTGTCATGTTTGGGTTGGTTTCTCTTTTTGGCTAGATTTTAGCAATATATACCATATACGAGATTATCTTGTTTTCCAACTCGGAAAGAAAATGAGAGTTTTGACTTCAATACCTCTCTCTGAAATAATATATCCTAAGCGTGTTTGTTTTGATTGTTGTGGGGACTTGTTGGACTTTGTAAGTCTAGGATGGCGTAGGTATAGACCGGAGTCATGCCAGCGCAGGGTGTTGTAAGCCAGCGAGGCTATGAGACGGTGAGGATCACCATAGTGGTTTTGGTTATTTTTTAGTCTGTATTACTTCATTACATTGAACCCTAAACATAAAAGGCACAAAATAAGAGAGGCATTTCATTATACTCCAAAGAATGGCATAACTCGCTTTCTACCCTATCTTTTAAGTTTTTAAAAAAATTGTAAAGTGTAATACCCCTAATTTTAAAAGGATAGTTTTGGCATTTATTTATTTTATTTGCGTTTTTAAATTAGTTAATTGATTAATTGATTATTTGTTTATGTGTTTAATTTAATTAAGCGTTTAAATGTAATTTCGTGGTTTGATTGGTTTGAATTTAAATGATTTAACTGCATTATTTGTTATCTGATGATGTATATTATGTGTAATTAATTGTTAGATTTAAATTGTTTAATTTTATTTTTTATTGTTTGTAAGGATGGATTTGGATAGCAGTAATGGACCACCAAATGAGTTGCATGAACTATTTGGATAAGAGTTAAATGGGTACTAATATTACCCATGAATTGTTATGCATATAAATATGGGATTATATGCATATATATAGCTATATATTTATTATTTGTTAAAAGTAGTTAATATTATTTTAAATTTAGTTGGATTTATCTATATATATATATATATATATTTGTATATATTTATACTGTTGGTATACATATTATTATATCACGGTTAGTTTAGGGTGCAGAAATATATATATTTATTTATTTTATTTTATTTTTATTTTCCTTCTCCTTAGGTAATTAGAATTAAGTTTAACCATAATAGCCTATGTATACGTGTGTATAGTTTGCCAAGGGTTTAGAACCCTATTCACATAACAGTGGAGGCACAAAAATGCATAGAGTTTTTGAGAGAAACTGAGAGAGGGAGAATTAGGGTATTGGTCAAGAACAAGGGCTGAACCAAGGAGGGGTTATTGAAGCTTGCTTATGGGTTGAACCAGGAGCAATAGATAGTCTTGACGGCAGGCCGAAGTCGCCGGAAAGTCTAGAAATAAAAGGTTAAGATTTCAATCCGAAACCTAGAGGCAAGTTCTTCTATTACTTCTTCCCTTAGACTTCGTGTTTCTATACAGGCCTAAGTTAATTCCACAAACTAATCAGACTTTAAATTGATCTATTATGCATGCTAATTATGATTTAAAACAATGTTAGATGAATTTATTTGTAATTGTTTGGTCTTGCAATCAATGCCATGAGTATTTGTTTTAATTGATGTTAATGATGCATAATTAATTTATATAAATTACTGGAATGATTCGGTACATAGTTCAGACTCTTAGAGCCATCAACAATGGAGAACAGAGGGATTGGAATTAGTCGAAGACGAGGAAGATGATGCAGAACAGGGTGAGAGCAGGCTCCCAAAAGGGAATTATTTTGACGACTCTCAGGGAGAGAGAGCCGACTCCATGGAGTTGAGAGCTTGCTCCCTGATTTAAGAGCATGCTCCATCGCTGCTACTTTAATATTTTGGGATTTTCAGCTACTATTTTGAGGTTTGGGCTATTCCAGGGTTGTGTAGATTATTATGGGTGATTTAAATAACTACAATGAGTATGCTAAATACCTAGAATGCATAGTTAATAATTATATGCTATGGAATGATGAACAATGTGAAAATTTAATTAAATTTACATGTTGTTAATGGGTGGTTTAACTGCATAGTATTATTCTAGCAATTTAAATTGATGATATATGATTTTAATCGTGCATTGATAGTATAATATGATCATGCACTATGAGAAAAACAAATTTTTACCACGCCCTTTTTACTACGGTTTTAAAATAACTGTGGTAAAATATATACTTTCTACCATGGTTATCTACCACGATTATTTTAAAGTCGTGGTAAAAGATCCTTTTTACCACGGTTAAGGAAAAATCGTAGTAATTATTATATTTTTTACCACAGTTATAAAAGAACCGTGGTAGAAAGTGAATTTATTTCACCTATAACCATGGTAGAAAGTGAATTAAGAAAGTGAATTAATTTGACTCAGATTTAGGCCCGCTCTTTCTACCACGGTTAATGAAAAACCGTGATAGTAAGTTATTCTATCATGGTTCAGGCACCGTGGTAGAGAGTGAATTTGGTTTAAGGGCTATACGCGGGTCATATTCCCACTACTTTCTTAAAATTTTAGGGCAAATCATTTCAGACCACATACATACGCCTCCATCTTTATCCTCGTTCTCAACTCTGAACTTGCCCTCTCTTTGTCTCTGCGACTGCAAACTACAAAATCTACAAGAATCAGATCAGCCTCCCAAATCGTCTCCTTCTCTATTCTCGTTCTCAACTCTGAACTTACCCTCTCTCTGTCTCTGCAACTACAAACTATAAAATCTACAAGAATTAGATCAGCCTCCCAAATCACCTCCATCTCTATTCTTGTTCTCAACACTGAACTTGCCCTCTCTCTCTCTCTGTCTCTGTAACTGCAAACTACAAAATCTACTAGAATCAGAACCCATATCGGCATATCATTTCAGATTGTTCAAAATATCAAAACCCATATCCTTCAGTTTCCATCGCCCGCTGTTCCAGTTCGGGTTCGCCGTTCGCAAGCTTCAGCCGCTAACCCTCTGTCTCTCCACTCTCAAGCCCCTCTCTCTACAACTGCTAACTTGTATGTATGGGTTTTATTTTATTTTATTTTTTCCAGTTAATTAAGGTCCGTAATTCTTGTTTTGCAAACTAAATCCTATTTAGTGAAATGTTTTGCAGGATTTGAAAGACTAATTAGTAAATTTGGGTTAAAACAAGCTTAAGGTTCTTATACAGGTAACTCATTTCTCTAATTATTCAATATAAATATTTTTAGGGCAAATCATTTCAGCCTCCCCAATCACCTCCATATCGATTCTCATTCTTGACTCTGAACTTGCCTTCTTTCTCTCTCTCAGCAACTGCAAACTACAAAATCTACAAGAATCAAAAGTTCAAAATCCATATAATTCAGTTTATCTATCTATCTACAAGAATCAAAATTTCAAAACCTATTACCTATATCAAAACCCATATCAGCATATCATTTCAGATTGTTCAAAAAATCAAAACCCATATCCTTCAATTTCCATCGCCCGCTGTTCCAGCTCAGGTTCGCCGTTCGCAAGCTTCAACCGCTGGCTCTTTGTCTCTCAACTCTCAAGCCCCTCTCCCTGCAACTACTAACTTGTATGTATGGGTTTTGTTTCAATTTTTTTTTTTTTTCCAGTTAATCAAGGTCTGTAATTCTTGTTTTGCAAACTAAATCCTATTTAGTGAAGTTTTTTATAACTTTTTTTATTTTTTTATAAATTTTAGTTATAAATATTTGTGAAGATAATGATTGAATTTATGGAATTCTGAAATTTTAGTACTGGGTAGGGGTCAATTTGATACTGCATACTTGTATCAGAATTGGGTTTTTGGTACTGGGTAGTTTCACAGTTGTAATTTATTTTTTCTTTAGTTTGTCTACTGTTCTTATGAATTAGCTAATTATTGAGGAGTTAATTGATTTTATTTTTGAATTAAAACTTGGATGATTATATGGTTTGATTTGACGTAGTGACTACACCTTCAGCCCCTTTCAATTGTGGGTATAAATTCTTAATACATTTCACAATAAAACTTTCCTTCATACTGTGTGTGTGTGTGTGTGTTTGGTTAGCATTATTTGGGTATTCTAAAAGGAAGTACAATTTTATGCTTCAGGGAAGCGGAGTTGATGTAAAAGAGATCACTCCGCAGTAATGCTAAGAAATTCGAGTTTCAAGCTGAGGTGTCTCGGCTCATGGACATCATTATCAACTCTCTTTACAGCAACAAAGATATTTTCTTGAGGGAGTTAATCTCCAATGCTTCTGATGTGAGCATATTTTACTTGTAATTTTTTTGGGATTTTCAGATTTTTTGATGATTATTTATAAGATATTATTTCAATTTCAGGCGCTCGACAAGATTAGGTTCCTTGCACTCACTGACAAGGAAGTTTTGGGTGAAGGTGATAATATTAAGCTTGAGATCCAGGTTAGTAAGGGATCGTTTTAGTATTGTACTTGTAGTCTGAACTTTCAATTAATATTAAATATGGTGCTTTTAATGGTTTGAAAGAGTATTAACATGTTAAGCGTATAATCTGGTAAATGCAGATCAAATTAGATAAAGAAAAGAAAATTATTTCCATTCGTGATAGAGAGATAGGTATAACGAAGGAGGATTTGATTAAGAACTTGGGAATCATAGCCAAATCTGGAACATCAGGTATCTTTATTTGTTTATTTATTTTTGATAAATTTAGGTATCTTTATTTTGTAAAGGATGAATGTATTCCAATTAAAACATCAACTTTTCTTCTTTCCTTTGTGGGATTGAGGAATGATGGGCATTGATTAAATTTACTTTTCTATATAGCTTTTATTAAGAAAATGTAAACAAGTGGAGACCTTAATCTCATTGGTCAGTTTGGTGTTGGGTTCTACTCAGTATATCTTGTTGTTGACTATGTTGAAGTTGTTAGCAAACATATTGATGACAAACAGTATGTCCCTTTGGGCCATTCCATTTTTAAGCAATTATTACTATCTTATGGTAGAAATATGATGTTTATTTAATTATTTCCTCAGGTATGTATGGGAATCAAAGGCTGATGGAGCATTTGCTATTTCTGAGGATGTTTGGAATGAGCCACTTGGTCGTGGAACTGAAATCAGATTGCATCTTAAAGAAGAAACTGGGGGAGTACTTGGAGGAGAGGAAATTAAAGGTGTGTAAACTAAAAATGTATGATGAATGATAATTTTCAGTTGGTTTTTAGATTAGTACCTTTGTCTTTATAATTTATAATACCTATATTGGAAGCCATGTTCATCATTGGTTTTGTGACCACTTGCTAGGACATAAAATTACTTATAACCATAAGTTCATTCTGATTCTGTACTTGCATATTTTATGTTTCACATGAGGTAAGAAAGCCTCAAAGCCTACTCAAATTTTTATTTTTCCCATTTTTCCAGTGGTATTCCTACCTGAAAAAGAGTATTTGTTTCATGAAAGATGTATGTCAATACACTTTACAGAGAGATTGAACTACTTTATACCACTATCGATGCATCATTGCACTTCCCCCATGTGGAGGGAAAAAAACTCCCTCCAATAAAAAGCGCACACGTCATCACTACACATATCTACATTCCAAGGACATATAAGGCCCATCATGCTCAAGCCCAAATTGAGGGTATTTATAGCCCAAGACCATTGTTATTTGTCCTCTAACCTCCATCAAGGCCGAATTAAGAGGTCATCAGCCCAACTTGTTAATATTTAACATCCGGTCCGTTACTCAAGCCCAGCTGGATCAGAATATGTTCAGCCCAGTTATTCAAGAATGCACAAGTCCTACCAGTTGAAGGATTTACCGTAGAAGGAAAATTCTGAGATAGGAAGTTTTGTACAAGGCAAGTTCTATGTATGGAAAATTAGACAATGGAAAGAACTCTATTAGTAAAGAATGTTTATATAGAAAGAATTGGAGGGCAAGCAATGCGAGTCCTACCATAATTTTACAATCTTTTGTATATAAATAGAGGCTAAGACCTCCAATAAAGGGATCAAGCAATTCTACGCTTCGAGATATATTGTTCTTGTTTATTTTACTATTGATTGAGTGAGTTGTTTTATTTTTCTTAATCATTATTGGTTGAGCAAAATTTTGTTGAGCGAAATTTTGCACCTACACTTTGGCGCCGTCTGTGGGAACCGTATAAAAATATACTCCCACTTGTTCTTCAAATCAAATCCTTAGTCGTATCTGGAATGTCAAACGAAGAGTCAGCAATGAATCAACAGATAGAATTGATGCAAAAGATGCGAGAGGAGTTCTTGCACCAATTTGAGACACTCCGGCAAGCAAACGATACAAGTGTCCCCCAGATAGCTGCGCTTCAGCAGCAGACTCATACGCTGCACACGGCAATGGCCAGGCTAACGCCACAACCACCACCAGGCGATGCTGCAGCACCACCTCTCACCCAGAATTTACCTCCAGTTCACGAGCCTCCGGCCAACGGGACACCACCCAATGGGGCTCGACCTAATGAGGTTCAGCAAAAGCAAGGGACGAGGTCCGAGGCAGTTGCTTCGGATAATCTCCCGTGCCGCACACAGGACGAACAGGCCGAGTCCAGCCATAGGCTTACGGTATGGTCCAATGGCGTTCCAGATGGCGCACGCGTACAAGATGTCTTCGACGAAAAGAAGCTATTAAGAGTTCAGACACCAGCCGAGATGGTTAGAGAGCACAAGAACTCCTTGGTCAAGACCCCCTTTACTGACGATGTGTACCTTGTAGAGAGACCAAAGAAGTTCACTATGCCATCCTTCACCCAGTTCGATGGGGCAGGAGACCCCTCTCGGCATCTCGATCATTATGCGCAAAAGATGGCACTGGACGATCATAACGATCCGTGGATGTGTAAGGTTTTTCCTACCAGTTTAACCGGAGCAGCTTTAGAATGGTTCAGGAATAGGCCACACAAGTCTATCCCTAATTATGAAACCTTGTGCACTATGTTCTTAGCCCAGTATTGCGGAAATAAGAAGCAGAAGAAAAGTATCGCCAGCCTTTTCACCATAAGGTAAAAGAAGGGAGAAACTCTGTAAGATTTCTTATCCAGATTTAACATGGAAGCCTCGGAGATAGTAGATTGCCACCCTGCCATGGCAATCGAAACATTTAAGTTGGCAATGATCCAGGGAACCAAGTTTCACACATCCTTGATCAAATATTCCCCCCCCCCCCCGGATATGCAGACTTTGAACGCTAGGGCACAAATCTACATTCGGTTGGAGGAAAACGTAGCCCACCGTGCACAGCACGCTACCCTCGTCACAGTGGAAAACAAGTCTCGAGAGAAAGCTGCAAGCACAAGGATGCAGAAGGTTCCTCATACCGCCACACAAGTCACCCAAGTGCCTGAGAAGAGGCGAAGGACAGAGGACAGGCTTACCCCTCTCCGTACTACCTTAACGCGCCTATTCCAAGAGAATAAGACGAGGTTCGCAACTCCTCAACCCATGAAACAACCCTTGGAGCAGAGGGACAAAAGCAAACATTGTGCCTACCATAGAGACTATGGGCATACCACCAATGACTGCAGGTCCCTTCAGCGATAGGTAGAAAGCATGATAGCGAGAGGAGAGTTGGTGGAGTATCTCGCCACGAAGGAGTACGTAAAACCTCGGGAGGTTAACCCTCGACGGGTGGAGGGCGGTCAGGTAAAGGTTATCCATGCCATACACGGAAGGTCAGAGGATGATGAAGAGTCTGAAGAATTGTACAGATCCAGGCTGAGAGAGGCTCATAAGTTACAAAGATTGTCTTCAGTAAACACGATTGCACCAGGCAGCATCAACATTGGATTCGGTAACAATGATCTGTCTAGAGTCCAGCGCCCGCATGAGGACCCCTTGGTCATCAGCCTCCTGGTAGCGAATTATATGATCAGGAGGGTGCTGATAGATCCGGGAAGTAGCGCCAACACCATTACAAAAGCAGCCTTCGATCAGCTGGGGGTCTCACCATCGTCCATCAGGCCAACTTCTAGCCCCCTAATAGGGTTTGATGGTACTATGGTGAATCCGCTTGGGGTGATCGATCTATCCGTTACTGCAGCAAAGAGAACTCTGAAGGAGAACTTTATAGTGACGGAAATTCATCCATCTTATAACCTCATTATGGGGAAAGGTTAGATCCATCGTATGAACGGAGTCCCTTCTACTCTTCATCAAGTAATGAGGTGTTTATCCCCAGATGGCAGGGAGGTCATCGACCTCTAGGGAGACCAGGTTGCTGCAAAAGAATGTTACATGCTAACGCTACATGAAGCAAAGAAGGCATCGAAATCACCTCCGTTAGAGGCGAATCCCAAAGACGCAATCAAATAGTAATTACAGTATCCTCTGCCCAAGTATCTCAAGGCAGAGGAAGAAGCCGAGGTTGAAGCACCTACCGAGGAATCCCTCAAAGCTATAGAGGTAGTCCTCGGAGACCCTCAGAAAGTCACCTACATTGGCTCATCTTGCATAGCCGAAGAGAAGGAAGCATTGATCAGGGTCATTCGGTGCAATTCGGATATCTTTGCCTGGGATCACTCGGACATGGTAGGGATCGATCCTATGGTCTTGTGCCATAGTTTGAGGGTTAACCCAGAATTCAGGCCAGTCAAGCAGAGGCACCGACGGTTTGCACCTGAACGGAATCGCATAATAGCTGAGGAAGTAAATAAACTATTACAAGCAGGATTCATTCGAGAGGTGCAATACCCACAATGGCTCTCAAATGTAGTAGTCGTTCAAAAGAAGAATGGGAAATAGAGGGTATGTGTAGATTATACCAACCTTAACAAAGCTTGCCCAAAAGATAGCTTCCCTCTGCCTAAGATTGATCAAATGGTGGATACTACGACAGGTTATGAGAGGCTCACATTCCTCGATGCATACTCCGGCTATAATCAGATTCCCATGAATCCTGAAGATGAGGAGAAAACCGCTTTCATCACAGAGACGGGCACTTACTACTACAGAGTGATACCCTTCGGTCTAAAGAATGCCGGAGCCACCTACCAGCGACTTGTCAATAAAATCTTCAATAATCTACTGGGGAATATAGTTGAAGCCTATATCGATGATATGGTGGTCAAAAGTATACGGAAAGAGGACCACCCGAAGCACCTCCAGGAGGTCTTTGATACTCTCAAGAGGTACAATATGAAGCTGAACCCCACTAAGTGCTCCTTCGCCGTCTCGTCAGGACAGTTCCTCGGACACATTGTAAATAAAAGAGGAATAGAAGTAAGCTCAGCTCAGGCAAAGGCACTCATACAGAACCAAGAGCCAAAAACCCGCAGGGAAGTGCAGGTTTTAACCGGCCGAATTGCGGCTCTCAGCCGGTTCATATCCCGATTATCTGATAAGTATAAACCTTTCTTTGATGCTATTCAATCCAAAAACAAAGATATGTGGGGACCTCAGTAGTAGGAAGCTCTCAATTAATTGAAAAGCTACATGACAAAACCCCTAATCCTTTCTGCTCCAACGCCCGGAGACATTCTCATCCTGTACTTGGCAGTATCAGCTGTAGCAACAAGCGCAGTGTTGATTAAAGAAGGAGGCAAGGTTCAGCACCCAATCTTTTACACAAGCAAAACGATGACGGATGCCGAGACACGGTACAGCAAGACGGAAAAGGTAATCCTGGCGTTAATTTATGCCAAGAGGAAACTTCGACATTACTTCGAATCTCACAGCATAGTGGTACTTACAAATCACCCTATATGGGCTATCCTAGCTAACCAGACTTATCTGGTCGAATTACAAAATGGGCTATTGAACTTAGCTCTTTTGACATCACCTATGCACCGAAGGTATCTCACAAGGGGCAGTCAGTAGCGGATTTCCCACTAGAGTATGAAGATCAACCTGAGGAACCGACACTTCAAGAGCCGTACTGGGAGTTACGGGTTGATGGCTCTTCCAACCAGAAAAGGGCAGGGGCCGGGATTGACATCACAACACCCGAGGGTACCAAGCTGCAGCAGTCAATTTTGCTAGATTTCCCAACTACTCATAACGAGGCCGAGTATGAGGCATTGCTTGCCGGACTTCGGCTAGCTAAACAGCTACAAGTACGGTGTTTAAAAGTTTTTAGTGACTCACAGCTTGTGATCAATCAAGTGACAGGGCACTATTCTCCCAAGGAGGAACGTA